ACCTGCTGGTGGCGATTTTTTTCAGAATCGTGCTTATAACTAGAGGAAACAGTATGTTTAGTTACTATACTGCAAAATTGTCGGTTGAGTACTTTTGCAAATTGCTTCTGGCGTAATTTGAGTACACCCTCATTCTCACCTTTCTCACCGTTGGAAGCACTGGCTACAGTGTTTGGACGTAGCGGGCTGGTGCGATAACTCGGTGCGGGCAAAGTCGCACGACGTGACGAACAAGTCTCGGCCCACCCTAAACCGTTTTCCCTGAATAACTGTCTTAACCGTTCAAAGTATACCAGTACCATTCTAGAACGTATTCAAACTTGACTAAACGCCTTTGGTCAAATTGTCACTATAACGTATGTGATAGGACCTTCTTTGGTCCGGTGCGGCTACACTACGCGTCTCGGACAGTATAACATATGCCAGTCTATCGAGAATGAGGGTGTATCAATGATTTTGGCCGCTTTGCACCCAAAATGGTCGCGTATACAAGACAAAAACCAGCAACCCGAAATATAGTACCTAAATATGTACAGTGTTTCAGGGCGGGTCAACGAAATGATGAGAGGGTTCATCTGTGATTGCAAAGTTTCGAGTGTGACTACCCGTGATAGAATTTAGTGCCTTTGAGTGACGGCGGGTGATACCCGTGTGATGGTTCGTGATAGATTTGGCGGAACATGTGACCGTTCATGATAGATTTGGCGGAACATGTGCCTTCTCGTGATAACTCCGAAATGTTTTGTGACGGCCCGTATAAAAACCCTAATTATTGCCGTTTCTGAAACTGAGGACGCAGTTTCGAGCATGCCCCTGCCCGTAATGTACACGAACGACGCACTTCTATTCGTCAAAACCGCGCCTTGGTGCGCATTCAAAGGTTTTCTTGGTCAGAATGTTCCCATCCCGTGCCAGCTGCAGCCAACCACCGACCGACGTTTCCTCGCCCACACACCCCTCTCTTCCGCGTCCTGCTTTTTATTCCGCGCCCCGCTTGCACTCCGCGGCCAATGCTCTTGGTTCCGAAATTGCTCAAGAATCAGACGAATTCTTCCAAGCTGCCATTCCTTTCTGGCCCCCATCAATTCCTCCTCACTGACCCTCAAGCTGTTCAAGATCGCGAATCACGACTGTGGGGATCCAGTAATACATCAACATTCTCCACCACCACCACACTCAAGCTTCAAGTGCCTGCTCTCAGCAACGAGCTCGCACGAGTCCCTGAATCCCGATCTGCTATATTTTCCCCTCGTTTTCAGTTTATACCATTCCGAAAGTGCAATTCAGTATCTCCAAGCTCTCGGAGACTTGAAGCATCGTGCAGCCGAGACACATCGCGAAGCGGACACGTTTCTACACCATTCAAAGAAGACGTCATGGCTCCCCGATCACCACTCAGCATGCGCGCGCTCCTCGGTCTCCTCTCCATCGCCCTCCCGATTCTCGTCACGCTCATCCCGACCGTCCATTCCCGCGGGTTGGCATCCTCCGTCTACGACGCCGCTTCACGCGGCGGCGAAAGCGGCGGCATTCCCACCCACGTCCTCATCTCGAGATCGAGAAGAGGCCTGCCGGCCGAGGTTCCGCGCACGCCCGTCCACGTCGTTTTCCACGGCACGTGGGACGCTGCTGACGTGGCTCTTGTGGAAGATTTTGTCAGCGAGCTGCCAGCGCGAGGTTACGAATCGCAGGCTCAGCTGGGATCCGTAGCCGTCGATAACAACCACTACGGCGTCAACTCAGCTGAAGGTAACAATTGTAACACATTGCAGAATATTTCTTTCGCAAATTCCGATTTCTCGTTCCATGCGACTAACCTGGGTTTCTTTCTCTTCCTGTTTTCCGCTCCTTTCGTCCGATCCTTTAAATCTCAGCCGTCCAGCACCAAATCGACGTCGGCGCGCTTCCATTCGACCGCGCCGCGCTCTATCTGCTGGTTACCAGCGGCGACGTCGCAGTAACCATCGGCGGCGAAACATTCTGCGAAGACTAATGCAGCAAGAAGGCGACACTCGAGCTGCGGGGACTCGATGGGTCCTCCGGAGAAGCCAAGTTTATCCACGCGGGTGACGTGTTTGCGCGCTGCCCCGACCGCTGCACCTTCCGCGCCGCTCACGCAACGTAAGCTCTCCGCGCAGCTCTTTCTAAACTCCATCCCCGAGCCTCCCCCCGCCTGTCCCCGCCCCTCGCACCCCCACTTCCCTGCCCCACCCCACCCACCCCCCTTTCTCCCACCCCGCGCCACTGTCCCCTTAGCCCTCGCCTGAAAAGGCTTTCTGTTCTACTCTCCGATATTGTCAATCTGCGTTACAACTTTTCTGACTGCCGTTTTCTTCTTCGCTCCCCGTTTCTGTCACTCGTGCAGTGAGCGAAACCCCCTCCGCCACCTGCTTCGTCACCTTGGCTCGGCGATTACCGAGTCTGTTCCCGGACCTGCTGCGGAGCCCATCACCGCATCCGAGTTCCCCGAACGTGAGACCTTTCCCCAAGCCACTGTTGCCGAGCCATCTGCTTCCGGTTCGGCAGTGGAGCAGGAGAAGGAGGCGAACGTCACTGCCGCCCCCACTCAAACCGCCAAGATGTGTGCCGCTTTCCCAACAGAGACCTTCATCCACGCCATTACGTACGGAAGCAACTCCTCAGGTGTTTCGTCAGGTGCCCAGGCAGGCGACCTTTCCACATGCGCAGCTGCTTCTGTGGGAGCCATGACTGTTGCCGGCAGGGCCAAGTGAACAACAGCAAAACACGGGGCGCACACTGTAACTGTGTTACCAGTGTCACACTTTACACCACCACTCCGCTCTGTAAATACTTGCGGAGCCGTTAGATGGGTTGAGCAGGAAGCAGCAATAATAAAGAAGTGGTCAAAGCACCTGATTAGGCCTTTAAGCCTATTTTGCATGGTTTGTTCAGTTCTTAGAGCTTGTTTTGCTTCTTCAATCAGAGAGTCCCAACCCAAAATAATGTAAGGTCCCTGGTTCTAATCATGTCATGTCAATCCAGCCAAGCCCAATGAGCATGGAGCTATTTCTCTAGAAATCTGCCAGTGCAACTACCTTCTGTACCATAACATCAGCCATGAAGAGACCAACAATTATAGAGCATCAAACAATGTTTTTCACTAGACTGCACAATACGGGACATCAAGCAGGCCCATGTACTTCTAACCAATCTGTGTGTACATCAAATCAAATGGTTGAAAAATGTACAAACCGTTTCTCGGAAAGAGGTTCGCTGGACAATGCACATGCGCAAAAACCCACCTATAGCACAGTGCATGCATTCCTTTCCATTTCCAGCCATCCTCCCCCGCACATTCCCATGCCTATCCATCCTTGCTCACCCCCCAACCCCACCCCTCCACTCCCCCACTCCCATCCCTTCACACCCTAAAGCAGCACTAGCAAGGCCCTTTTGGGGGCCTCGTTATAAGGTGTCCATGTGGTGGTACAAGCCACATGAGCCTCGTTATAAGGTGTATGGCGCTTCAGGTTATGTCAACACAGCAGGCAGACCCCCAAGAACCTCGTTATAGGGTGTCTGATGCTTGAAGTGAAACAGTGGTGTTGCTACTGGTACTGATACTGCTGCAGCAGCTGCGGCTGCTCCTGAGACTGGAACTGCTGCTGTTGCTGCTTCGGCTGTTGCTGCTTCGGCTGCTGCTGCCGTTGCTGCTGTGATTGCTGTTGTTGTCGCTGCGGTGGCTGCTGTTGTTGTTGCTGCTGTGACTGCTGTTGTTGTTGCTGCGGTGGCTGCTGCTGTTGTTGCTACTGGTACTGATACTGCTGGGGCGGCTGCTGCTGCTCCTGAGATTGAAACTGCTGCTGTTGCTGCTGCTGTTGCTGTGGTGGCAGCTGCTGCTGCTGGTACTGCGCCTGCTGATCCTGCCACTGCTGCTCGCCCTGATTCACACCCACATACTCCTGTGGCCTGTACTGCCCACCCTGCCCCTCGCCCAGCCCAATTTTCTCCTCCTGCCCCTGCCCTTGTAAATACTGCTGCTGTGCCCCCTGCTGCTGCTGCTGCTGCCACCACGAGCCTTCGACCTCGCCTGCATTTCCCACTCCACCGTTCCCCACCCCTCCATTCCCCACACCGACCCCTCCATTCCCCACACCGACCCCTTCACTCCCCACCCCCATCCCCACCCCCATCACTGAACTCTCAACTCCCATAGCTGTTGCTCCTGATGGGATCGCCACCTGTCCCTCCCCGTTTCCTGCTGCACTGCCCACTGCATACACTGCTGCCTGCTCACCTGCTGCAGCAGCGGCATCTGAGGAATCTCCTGGCAGAACACCTGCAGCAGCACCAACAGCGGAAGCAGCAGCAGCAGGAGCCTCAACAGGAGCAACAGCAGCAGGACGAGGAGGAGGAGGAAGAGGAGGCATCCCGATATCAGCACTAGGACTGTCACCAGAATCATTATTAACACCAGCGTCAACAGCGGCAGCAGCAGGAGAGGTACTGGCGTCAGTACCATTCACAGCAGCAGCAGCAGGAGCAGGAGCAGTAGCAGGGGCAGTTGCCGCAGCGGCGGTAGCAGCAGCAACAGCAGCAGCTGCAGGAGCAGCTGTAGCAGCTGTGATGGCAGCAATAGGTGTGGGGGGTGGGGGAGTGATGCTGGAGGCTCGAGAAGCGTCCACATCCATTGCATCTGAGAAGTCCAGGCGACCCAGGCGCCTGAAGTTTGCACAAAGTGGGAGAGGGGAGAATAGAGCTGACTTAAGTTGATTGGCATTGACTGGAGTGATGCTGGAGGCTCGAGAGGCGTCCACATCCATTGCATCTGAGAAGTCCAGTCGACCCAGGCGCCTGGAGGGTTGACATAACAGAGAAAATCAGAGCAGGCAAGAGGAAGAAGTGAGCACACAGTTGACTAGGGTTGACTCGAGTGATGCTGGAGGCTCGAGAGGCATTGCATCTGAGAAGTCCAGACGGCCCAGGCGCCTGGAGAGTTACAATAGGGAAAACAAAAGGAGGAGAGGGAGGAACGTTGACTAGAGTTGACCAGCATTGACTAGGGTGATGCTGGAGGCTCGAGAGGCGTCCACATCCATTGCATCTGAGAAGTCCAGACGGCTGTGAGTGGAAGGGAGAGAACGAGCAGGAGAAGGGAGGACAGAGTGGAAAGGAGTTGACTGCTGTTGACTAGAGCTGATTAGAGTTAACAAGGGGAGACTAAGTTGACTGGAGTTGACTAGAGATGACTAGGGTCGTCCTCCCTTCCTCGTTCATCTTTCGCCTCACCTGGTGCTGCTGATACAGTGGTTGATTGCGGCCAGGTGCCTTGCGTGGATACTGCAACACCACGCCACCCCATCCAACCCCATCCAACCCCACCCCACCCCACCCCACCCAACACCATACCACCCCTCCCAACCCTTCCCCCTACCCATCAGTCCCCCCCTTCTTTTCTCACCTGGTGCTGCTGATGCGCTGGTTGATGGCAGCCATTTGCCTGGATGGACTAGCAAAGAGGGGACCCTAGCAGCTACCTATCTTTCCCTACTATACTCCCTCCAACCTCCCTCATCTCCCGCCCTCTTTTCTCACCTGCTGCTGCTGATGCGCTGGTTGATGGCCGCCAGGTGCCTGGAGGGGCTGGCTGCAATACCACCCACCCCACCCCACCCCACCCTTCCCTACCCCGCTATACCCCACCCTCACCTGCTGCTGCTGATGCGCTGGTTGATAGCAGCAATGTGCCTGGATGGACTCGCAAAGGGGTCAGCAGAAAGGCCCCCTCCCAGCAGCTGCGTGGAGAGCTGCGCTGACAGCTGGCGATGCGGGGAGGCCAACAGAGCCTCCATCTGGTGAATGGGGGGAGTGGGCGGAGGGACGGCAAAGGAGGTCTGGAATTGAACCCTCCCTCCCAGCAGCTGCGTGGATAGCTGAGCAGAGAGCTGGCGGAGTGGGGAGGCTAGAAGGGCCTCCATCTGACAGCGGACCTTTGTTTGGACTCACCCTCGAGGTTGGCAGTGGCGACACGTAGACATTATGACTTTTGAGTCGACTCAAAAGTCAACTCGACTCAAAAGTCAACTCGACTCAAAAGTCAACTCGACTCAAAAGTCAACTCCATCTGACAGCGGACCTTTGTTTGGACTCACCCTCGAGGTTGGCAGTGGCGACACGTAGACATTATGCCGCGACGACAGACGGCGAGGGGAGGCCCGCGGCACAGAGGAGGGCGACTGCTGGTGCTGCTGAAAGCGCCTCCCTTGACCCGAGCATGGAAAGCATACAGTGAATGGTGACTAAAAGTGACTCACTCACCCTAGACGTTGGCAGTGGCGAGACGTATACGTTGTGCCGTGAGGACACGTGACGGGGGGAGGCCCCCGGCACGGAGGAGGGCGACTGCTGGTGCTGGTGAAAGTGAGCTAGAGCAGGGGACGAGTTCACATCACACACAATACCCGTGCCACAGGCGCTACAACACACGGCGACGGGAGGCCCCCGGCACAGAGGAGGGCGACTGCTGGTGCTGCTGAAAGCGCCTCCCTTGACCCGAGCATGGAAAGCATAAGGTAGTGGTGACTCACCCGAGAGGTTGGCAATGGAGAGACGTAGACGTTGTGCCGCGAGGACACCCGGCGAGGTGACGCCCCCGGCACAGACGAGGGCGACTGCTGGTGCTGCTGAAAGTGCGCGAGAGCCGGGGAGTGCACCAGGGGACTCCTGAACACTCTCTCTCCCTGCCTCCCCCCCTGTCTCCCCCCCCACCAGTCCCCTTCCTCGACGCGTAACAAGTGACTCACCCTAGAGGTGGGCAGTGGCGAGACGTAAACGTTGTGCCGTGAAGACACGCGGCGGGGGGAGGCACCCGGCACAGATGACGGTGACTGCTGGTGCTGCTGAAAGTGCGCGAGAGCAGGCGAGGAGTGCACCAGGGGGCTTCTGAACATGCTCCCTCCCTGCCTCCCCCCCTGTCTCCCCCCCCACCAGTCCCCTTCCTCGACGCGTAACAAGTGACTCACCCTAGAGGTGGGCAGTGGCGAGACGTAAACGTTGTGCCGTGAAGACACGCGGCGGGGGGAGGCACCCGGCACAGATGACGGTGACTGCTGGTGCTGCTGAAAGTGCGCGAGAGCAGGCGAGGAGTGCACCAGGGGGCTTCTGAACATGCTCCCTCCCTGCCTCCCCCCCTGTCTCCCCCCCCACCAGTCCCCTTCCTCGACGCGTAACAAGTGACTCACCCTAGAGGTGGGCAGTGGCGAGACGTAAACGTTGTGCCGTGAAGACACGCGGCGGGGGGAGGCACCCGGCACAGATGACGGTGACTGCTGGTGCTGCTGAAAGTGCGCGAGAGCAGGCGAGGAGTGCACCAGGGGGCTTCTGAACATGCTCCCTCCCTGCCTCCCCCCCTGTCTCCCCCCCCCACCAGTCCCCTTCCTCGACGCGTAACAAGTGACTCACCCTAGAGGTGGGCAGTGGCGAGACGTAAACGTTGTGCCGTGAAGACACGCGGCGGGGGGAGGCACCCGGCACAGATGACGGTGACTGCTGGTGCTGCTGAAAGTGCGCGAGAGCAGGCGAGGAGTGCACCAGGGGGCTTCTGAACATGCTCCCTCCCTGCCTCCCCCCCTGTCTCCCCCCCCACCAGTCCCCTTCCTCGACGCGTAACAAGTGACTCACCCTAGAGGTGGGCAGTGGCGAGACGTAAACGTTGTGCCGTGAAGACACGCGGCGGGGGGAGGCACCCGGCACAGAGGAGGGCGACTGCTGGTGCTGCTGAAAGTGCGCGAGAGCAGGCGAGGAGTGCACCAGGGGGCTTCTGAACATGCTCCCTCCCTGCCTCCCCCCCTGTCTCCCCCCCCACCAGTCCCCTTCCTCGACGCGTAACAAGTGACTCACCCTAGAGGTGGGCAGTGGCGAGACGTAAACGTTGTGCCGTGAAGACACGCGGCGGGGGGAGGCACCCGGCACAGATGACGGTGACTGCTGGTGCTGCTGAAAGTGCGCGAGAGCAGGCGAGGAGTGCACCAGGGGGCTTCTGAACATGCTCCCTCCCTGCCTCCCCCCCTGTCTCCCCCCCCACCAGTCCCCTTCCTCGACGCGTAACAAGTGACTCACCCTAGAGGTGGGCAGTGGCGAGACGTATACGTTGTGCCGTGAAGACACGCGGCGGGGGGAGGCACCCGGCACAGAGGAGGGCGACTGCTGGTGCTGCTGAAAGCGCCTCCCTTGACCCGAGCATGGAGGGCATAAGGTAGTGGTGACTCACCCTAGAGGTTGGCAGCGGGGACACGTATACGTTGTGCCGCGAGGACACCCGGCGGGGGGAAGCACCCGGCACGGACGAAGGCGACTGCTGGTGCTGCTGAAAGTGCGCGAGAGCAGGCGAGGAGTGCACCAGGGGACTCCTGAACATATTCCCCCCGTGCCCGCCGCCCCTCTCCCCCGGGCCCCCTGCTCCCCCTGCCCCCCCTGCTGTGGAGGCGCCGTGGCCGAGGTGCAGCAGGAAGGACTTGGTAGCCGGGACGAATATCTCGTTGTAGAATCGAATGATGTCTCCGTGCTGGGGGGTGGGCTGGTGGGGATTGGGTGTGGGGGCATGAGAGGGTAGAGAGAGTGGAGGGAGGAGAGTGAGTGAGGAAGGTTCAGGGTTCAGTGGTGCAGCAGGAAGGACTTGGTGGCCGGGACGAAGATTTCGTTGTAGAATCGAATGATGTCTCCATGCTGGGGGATGGGCTGGTGGGGCGTGCGGAGTGGGGAATGGGGAGGGGAGTGCACATAGGAGGGGGTTCAGGGTTTTGGGTATAAGGGTTTGCCAGAGAGGCGCAGGGGGAAGGACTTGGTAGCCGGCACAAAGATCTCTTTGTAGAATCGAATGATGTCTCCGTGCTGGGGGATGGGCTGGTGGGGTGTGGACGCGGAGCATCGGGGGCATGGGGGCATGGGGCCATGGGGGGGGGGGGGAATGAAGCGGGGATGGGGTGTGAGGGGCAAGATGTAATCCAGGGGAGTGGGTGTGTGTGTAAGAGGGTGTTGGGGGAGAGGGCGTGTGTGGAAGAGGGTGTGGAAGCAAAGGGAGAGAAAGGAATAGAAGGAAACGGGTTTCACTGTTAGGTTTCCCAAAGAGAAGGGAAGACGAAGAATTAGCGACGAGCAGGAAGCACCGCAAGGAGTGATTATGAGCAGCTGTCACTTTAACGACTTGAGAAACCTCCCTCTTCCCTTCTTCCCTTCCCCTCTTCCCCCCCTTACCCCAACACATCCTCACTGCACCCACCCCGCACCTTCCGCTCACACCCATATTCACCACTCTTCACCGCTCTGCAGCCATTCAACGCACCTCCTTGGAGGCAGAGTCAGGGGGGGGTGGCCTGGCGTCGATGAACACATTTCTGAAGACCGAGGGTTTGCAGTGCGGTAACTTGCGGTACTGTGCGATGATGTCCTTGAACGTGACTGCCACTTGTGACACCTGTGTGAACGCGGATGGGGGAGGGAAGTGAGAGTTGAGCAGTTGACGCTTTTGCTTTACAATGAATCGTGGTAGAGGTACGAGGACGGTGAGATAAGGGAACAGAGAGGACTGGAGAGATGGCACCCCCTATCCACTACCCACCTTGCAGACGCCATAGACGGAGGAAAGTATGATCTGGTCAAGGTGGCGGCAGAAGAGCAGCTGCACCTCGCCCTCCACGGCATGCTCCACCACGCGGAACACCATCTCCGACACCGCTGCTGTCAGCCTGAGGCGCTCACACAGGCTGCGCACCCTCACCACCGCTAGCTTTAGAACCTGGAGTGAGCGACAAGGGAGGTGAGAGGGCGGGAGGTAAGGGAGTGAGGGCAGGAGCGGAAGAGAGCAGGTGCACGCACCACTGATAACTGTAGAACCTCGCGTTGGAGGGAGGGAGCAAGCAAGGGGGTGATGGCAGGAGCAGGAACAGACGGGAGAAGAAGCTAAAATGAATGAAGCCAAAGGTCAAGAGGCAATAGTCGCTTACCTTTTGGCAGAACTGGTTAAAAAGCATCTCGGATCGACTCTCCCCTGGCGGTGCTGCTGCTGCTGACGCCCGCTGGAAGGGACTGGTGAGTGGACAGCCCGAAACAGAAGAAGGGAGGAAGGAGAGGGAAGGGGAGAGAGTGAGACAGATAGATTGTGGTGTAAGAGATGGTGGCACTGATGCTGCTGACTGGCGCCTGGTGAAAGGGGAGGGCTGGTGGATGGGAGGGCTGGTGGATGGGAGGGCTGGTGGATGGGAGGGCTGGTGGATGGGAGGGCTGGTGGATGGGAGGGCTGGTGGATGGGAGGGCTGGTGGATGGGAGGGCTGGTGGATGGGAGGGCTGGTGGATGGGAGGGCTGGTGGATGGGAGGGCTGGTGGATGGGAGGGCTGGTGGATGGGCGGGCTGGTGGATGGGCGGGCTGGTGGATGGGCGGGCTGGTGGATGGGCGGGCTGGTGGATGGGCAGGTTTTGAGACGTCTCAAAAGTCGTGCTGCTGGCGCCTGGTAAAAGGGGAGGGTTGGTGGATGGCCGAATCTGTTTTTTGAGAATTCTAAAAAAACAGATCAAGTCGTGCTTCTGGTGCCTGGCAAAAGGGGACGGTTGGTGGATGGCTGGAAAACAGGGCGGTTGGAGTAAACTCAGAAATCCGAAAGGGGGGAGGGGGAAGGAAGAGGAGGGGGGAGAGCGAGAGTGAAAGCAATGGCACTGATGCTGCTGCTGGCGAACGCTGGAAGGGACTGTGGATGGACGAGGGCTGGCGAGGAGCAATCTATTCTCACTCACGTGGTGAAGGAGGAGTGCAGATGCGCAAACTCCCGCTTGTTCTGCGGCTTCATGGGGGAGAACGCGGGGAAGGAGGCCTGGGCTGGCGGGGAGGCTGCTGGGAGAGACGAGTGGGGTGGGGTGGGATAGAGGAAACGGGGAGAAGAAACGCTTGTTCTGCGGCTTCATGGGGGAGAACGCGGGGAAGGAGGACTGGGCTGGCGGGGAGGCTGCTGGGAGAGACACATGGGTGGGATGGTGGGGTGGAGAAAACGGGGATAAGACACGCTTGTTGTGCAGCTTCATGGGAGGAGAGAATGCGAGAAAGGCGGCCTGGGCTGGCGGGGAGGCTGCTCGGAGGGACAAGAGGGGTGGGATGCGGGGTTGGGATAGCATGGTGTGGGATAGAATGGCAGGAGCACAGAAACGGTGTGAATGAAGGACCAGGGGAAAGTCGTGCTTGTTTTCTTTTCACAGGATATCTCACGATGACACAATCCCTCACCTTCATCATTCCCCTTGCTCTCCGGCGTGCCATCCCCCTTCTCCCCGTCCCCACCACTCCCCTTCCCTCCCCCTCCTCTCCCCGCCACCACCCCCACCAACCCCAACTCCCCTTCTGGTAGCAGCTGAAGCCTCTTAACCTCCGCCAGCAAATGCCGTCTCGCCGCCACCACAGTCACATACAGGCTCGACCCTTTCTCCCAGGCCAGACTCTCCAGAATCCGCTCATCACACGCGTTCAAGTGCCGCTTCAGCTCCCCAGGAAGCCCCTCCTCATACCTCACAAACCCCTCCATGACCTTATCCATATCGAATGCCGACACCCCCGCCGGGGCCAGCACAGCAGGGAAAGCGTGGGCTGTCGCCTTGTGACTGGCTAGCACTAGCTCGGCTGAGCAGGCGAGGAGCGCGCGGTGAAACCGGTCGTTATCGAGGAGTGGAGTGAGGTTCTGTGAGTTGATGCGGAGGGACTCGGACGTGCACATGCGGAGGAGGACACGGTAGTAGAGCTTTACTGTCTCCTGCCTCCTCTGCTCCGCCCATAGCGCCGCCTCTGCCGGCTCGCTCCCCCCTCCCGCTCCCCCTGCCGCGGATTCCCCTTCGGTGTGTTTCCCAGCATCACCTGCTCCCGCTCCCGCCCCCGCTCCGTTCTTCTCCGCTCCTGCCTCTCCCGCCGCTCCCTTCCCCCCTCCCCCACCCGCGCCTGCAGCAGCAGCGGCAGCAGCTGCTCTCTTTTTCTGAGAGACAGCAGAGAAGATCTCGTGCGAAACCAGGGTGGTTCTGGTTACCACAGCGCCCGTTACATCCTTGTCACACGCGTGCAGAAACCGGAGCAGATCCAAAGAAGGCTCAGCAGGCGAAGCAGACACCACGGTTCTCAGCCAATGAGCTGTCGACATGGCAGCAGAGATAGGGGTCTGGGGAACCCCCATTCCCCCTCCGCCTCCCCCTCCCCCTGTTCCCCCTGGGCCCAGACGGGTGAGGAAGGAGCGGGCGGGGGAGCAGAAGGGGGCGATGGTGATGGTGGTGCTGCCCCCCCCGCGCCCCTCCCCCCCTGCGCCTCCCCCTGCGCCCATGGCGCTGGCGAAGGGGGAGGAGGGGGCGTTCATTGCGCCTGTGGGGGCGCTCTTGAGGGGGGAAGGGGGAGGCATGGAGCGCTGGACAGGGGAATAGGGGGAAAGGGAGGGGGAGGGGGAGGGGGCAGGGGGGAGGACAGACGGGGCGGAGCCAGGCAGGGCGAGGGGGGAATGGAAGTGGGAAAAGAAACAGAAAGTGATTATTAGGATATGCAGCTGATTTTAACGCTTATACGCTGAAACTCAATGACCTGGCCATTTGGGTGAGCTAAGCTCAAAGGGTGATAGAGCTGCCAACGGCAAACGCCACAGCGCACAGAGGAAGGGAAAGTGGCCACCCAACACCATTCCGTACTACTTAATGCCACCCAATACCACTCCAGCACCTCCATCACCTCTCAGCACCGCTCACCTGAGGGCGCCAACAGTGGAGGCAGCAGTGAGCTGCGAGACGGCCCCAATGACTTGCCTATCTCCCGACAGCATTTGGTGGCAGAACCCACTCTGAGCCACACAGTACCGTCCAGTACCACTCACCTTCGCAGCACCAACAGATGTGGCAGCAGTGAGCTGCAAGACCGCCCCAATGACCTGCCCATCGCCCGACAGAAACATCCTCTCGTCCAGTGCCCTGTCACCCGCCTCCACATACACCTCCTGGTACGCCCCCTCCACCAGATCCACACTTGGCAGCTGGTACCGCACAGCACCCCTCAGTACCCCTCGGAACCTCTCAAAACCACTCAGGACCACTACGAACCACACAGTACCGTTCAGTACCGCTCACCTTGGCAGCAGCAACGGAAGTAGCGGCAGTGAGCTGGGAAACAGCCCCAATGACCTGCCCATCCCCCGACAGAAACATCCTCTCATCAAGCGCCCTGTCGCCCGCCTCCACATACGCCTCCTGGTACGCCCCCTCCACCAGATCCACACTCGGTGGCCGGTACCGCTCAGCACCCCTCATTAACCCCTCAGTACCGCTCAGAAACACTTAAAACCACTCAGGACCACTCCGAACCACACGGTACCGTTCAGTACCACTTCACTTACTTTAGCGGCGGCAACGGAAGTAGCGGCAGTGAGCTGCGAGACAGCCCCAATGACCTGCCCGTCCCCCGACAGAAACATCCTCTCATCAAGCGCCCTGTCGCCCGCCTCCACATACGCCTCCTGGTACGCCCCCTCCACCAGATCCACACTCGGCAGCGCCGCCGCGTCCTGCAGCAGCCCCTCAAAGAGAAACAGCCTGTCGGGACAGAGGTCTGCTGCGTCGTGCTGCTCGCAGGATGCCAGGGCGGGCTGGCGGGCGAGGCAGCGGGTCATGAGCTGCTGGGTGCGGTCGAGCAGGGCTGAGACCTCGGCTTCGGCTGCCTTGTAACTCGCACACAGAGACCCCACCACGTCCACCAACCTCTCTCTCCCTGCTCGGCGCGCTGTGGGGGTGGGGGGGAGGGGAGCAGGGAGAGCTCAGACCCTGTGAGTGAGCAGCGTCCTGCAGCAGCCCCTCAAAGAGAAACAGCCTGTCCGGGCAGAGGTCTGCTGCGTCGTGCTGCTCGCAGGATGCCAGGGCGGGCTGGCGGGCGAGGCAGTGGGTCATGAGCTGCTGGGTGCGACCGGGGAGGGCTGAGACCTCCCCTTCCGCTGCCTTGTAACTCGCACACAGAGACCCCACCACGTCCACCATCCTTTCTCTCCCTGCTCGGCGCGCTGTGAGGGGGGGAGGAGAGTGGGTGGAAGGGGGGAGGCAGCGGGTCATGAGCTGCTGGATGCGCTCGAGGAGGGCTGAGACCTCCCCCTCTGCTGCCTTGTAGCTCGCACACAGCGACCCCACCACGTCCACCAGTCGTTCTCTCCCTGCTCGGCGCGCTGCAGCGTGGGGGAAGGGGGGAAGGAAGAACAACAAGTGAAGGTCGGCTCAAAGAGAGAAACAGCCGGTCGGGGCAGAGGTCTGCTGCGTCGTGCTGCTCGCAAGACCCCAGGGCTGCCTGGCGGGCGAGGCAGCGGGTCATGAGCTGCTGGGTGCGGTCGAGCAGGGCGGATACTTCGCCTTCTGCTGCCTTGTAGCTCGCACACAGCGACCCCACCACGTCCACTAGTCATTCTCTCCCTGCTCGGCGCGCTGCAGTGTGTGGGGAGGAGACGGGGAGAGGAGGGTTGTGGGCCACCTAGAGAAAGGACCAGCAGGACTGAGACCTCCCCCTCTGCTGCCTTGTAGCTCGCATACAGCGACCCCACCACGTCCACTAGCCGTTCTCGCCCTGCTCGGCGCGCTGGAATGTGCGGGAGGGGAGAGGCGGGTGGAGGGGCGTGGGGCATGCAGTGAAACGACCCCACCCGTTCAGAGCCACCCGTATGTGGAAAGGAGGGGAAGCGGAGGGGCGTGGGGCAGTTACAAACAAGCACGCCCATACTGCTGCCTGCGCGGGGATGGGGTGGGGAAGAGAAGAGAGCGGGTGCAGGTGAGTGCTCGCACACAGCGACCCCATCAGGTCCAGCGCGCGTGCAGGTGAGTTCTCGCCCTGCTCAGTGCGCCGTGGGGGGGGATGAGGTGGGAAGGCCACGTGTATGAAGAAGTGTTTTGAGACGTCTCAAAACACTTCTTCATACACGTAGCGACCCCACCAGGTCCAGCGCGCGTGCAGGTGAGTTCTTGCTCAGCGCGCCGTGGGGGGGGATGAGGTGGGAAGGGAGGGAGGAGAGCGAGTGCAAGAAAGAGCTCGTATCCGTCCATGCCTGTTCGTAGTCAGCTTGAAATGTGGCGCTTATGAAATGTGAATTATGTGTGGCATTGGAACGACCAAAGCTTAACTAGGTGCAGCACTTACAGAATCTGACAGGATCTGAGAAGGAGAATCGGCGGAGAGACGGGGGAACGTGGACTATCAAAACCACCTGGTGCAAAGCAAATAAGGGTGGGGGAAGAGGGGGAGAGGGGGTGGGGAGGGGATTTGAGACGTATCAAAACTCGATGGCGGGACGCGGACGATCAAAACCACCTGGTGCAAAGCAAATAAGGGTGGGAAGGCGAAGAGCAGTGGGGCGAATGGGGAGCACAAAGGGGATTAAGGGGATTAAGGGGGTGCACACTGCACAATGGAGCCCAGAAAAGAAAAGGTTAAAAGGAGCATGCAGAAGGGGAGGCTGGCGGGGGGGGGGGAGGGAGGGGGGGGGGACTGAAGGTGGGGCGAGATGGAGAAGCAGCGAGCGGTTTACAAACTGGAGGGGGGCGCGGGGAAAGGGAGAGAAGAGGATATGAGACTCTCACAATGTGCCATGTGCCATGTGCCCTGTGCCCCGTGCCTTGTGCCATGCTTTCTGTCTGCATTCGCCACCATGTGCCATGTGCCATGCTGTGTACGTACATTCAACACCAGCACTCACCACCATGTGTCATGTGTCATGTGCCATGCGCCATGTGCCATGCTCACTGCATTCAACTCCATGTGCCATGTGCACTCGCTTACTCACTCACCAGAGTGCAGAGCATCGCGTTTGTCGCAGTGACAAGATCCGGGAACCTTCTGAGAAGGTGCGCCTTGATGGAGAGGAACAGCAGCCAGCCAAAGCGCATCTCCCGGGAGAATTGGGAGGCGGCTGCGGCAGCGGGAGGAGCAGGTGCGCCCGAAGGGAGGGACGGCGGGGGAGAGCTGATGAAGAGCTCTGCAAACACCTTCTTGTAGTGGCTGGGGGATGGGAAGTCACGGGTGGTGAGGGGGAAAGTGGGTAAAAAGGGAGAAAGGAGCAGTGTTGGGAGGAGAAATGGTTAAAGGGTGGGAGAGCGCGGCAGCAGCAGCCAAAGCGCCTTGATGGAGAGGAACAGCAATCAGCCAAAGCGCATTTCTCGAGGAGAGGAGATGAAGAGCTCTGCAAACACCTTCTTGTAGTGGCTGCGGGGTGGGTGGGGGAAGGGGGAGAGGGTGAGGGAAAAAGGGGAAGGGGGAAAGGGGAAAGGAGGAATGGCGAATGAGGAACGGGGGAAGGGGAATCAAAGGGGGGGATCGCGAGAGCTCTTGCGTACTTGTTGTATGCATTGCATTCGAGCACTATTAAATTGAGCTTTAGAATTTCTGAGAGGAACGAAAGCGCACTCACTTGAAAAGCACGATTGCATGCACAAAGTTGGCTTGAAGCTCCTTCACCTGGAGGGGCAAGGGGAGGGGCAAGGGGAGGGGGGAAACGAGAGCCGTGGTTGCGAGGCGGACGAGAGAAAGAGGATGAAATCAAGAAACGACTGGCAGAGGATCGGAAGCAGGAGATCGAAATAGAAATCGGGATGCGACACATGAGATACCACAAGCAGAAGTCATCTTGGGATGACAGCACAGAAATGACTTCAAACCTTTTCAGCACAGCACAGCACATACCTCAAGCCTCTCAAAACTTTTCAAACTGTAGGAGATCTCTCGCTATGACAGCACAGCACATACCTCGAGCCTCTGCTCCCACAAGTCCCCATAGGCCGCCTGCATGACAGGGCTGACACGTGGCAGGAAGTTGGCGATCTCCTTGAAGAAATCCACCACTCTGAACATGCCACGTGGGTGTGGTGCAGGGAAGTAAGACGGTGTGTGTAAGACGGTGGGAGATGGGGCATGGGAAGTTGGGAGTGGGAGGTGGGGAGTGGAAGGGGAGGAGTTCAGGAGAAGGAGGAAAGTTCAATACTGCGAGTAACACAGTTTAGGGTTTAAGGTGAAAATTTCAATAGCATGCAATGCCATGCCATGCCATGTCACCACAAATCAACATGCGCAAGCAGCTCCGAAAACATGAAGCAGATCCACTGCGACCACAAAATGGACCATACCATGCCATACCATGCCATACCATGCCATACCATGCCATACCATGTCACCACACTCACACACACCCTTGTGTGCAAGCAACCCACGTCAGCTTTGTGGCGCGCAGCAGCTCCGACAGAGTGCACCAAGGGAATGGAGAAGGGGCAAGATGCGCGACCAAATCACGATCACCATGTATACGTGGTGTAGACATGACATGGTAGCTCACATATTGATAAGCAACTCACGTCAGCTTGGTGGCGCGCAGCAGCTCCGACAGAATGAACCAGGGCCACTGCAACCGCAGAGTGAAGCATACCATACCGTACCATACCGTACCATACCATGCCATACCGTACCATACCATGCCATACCGTACCATACCATGCCACACCATGTCACAACACTGGCAACTCACGTCAGCTTGGTGGCACGCAGCAGCTCAGACAGAGTGAACCAGGGCCACTGCGACCGCGAGGACCCGGGCGGCGCGATTTGTCCTGCTCTGGCGGCCGCCTCCTCTGCTGCTTTCGCGGGGCCAAGCTTTCGCACCACGAACAGCACACACGCACTCCAGGCTCGCTCGCTGTCGTCCGGAGACTGAACGAAAATGTGGGAGATGGGGCGGGTGTGGAGATGGGGAGGTTGGGGAGCAGTATCCGTCACGACATGCCAAGCTTTTGCACCACGAACAGCACACACGCGCTCCAGGCGCGCTCACTGTCGTCTGGGGACTGGGAGAGAGAGATGGGATGCCGGAATGGGGATAGAGGTGATATCCGTGAGATTCCAAGCTTGCGCACCAAGAACAACACACATGCAGTCCACGCGTGCTCGCTGTCGTCTGGGGACTGCCAGAGATGGGCCGAGGGGGGTGGGAAGATGGGGGGTTGGAATCAGGGGATGTTTAGAAAAACCCAAGCTTTTGCACCACGAACAGCACACACGCGCTCCACGCGCGCTCGCTGTCGTCCGGGGACTGGGAGAAATGGGTTGGGGAGTCGGAAAAAATGTTCGCAAACGATTGTGAGGCTCCACGCACGGCTATGGCGACGGGACAGATGAGCTACGAAAAAGACGGACAAGCTGACGGACAGGCAGATGAATGACGGCCGGACGGACGGACGGACGGACGGACGGGGGGACGGACGGACAGACGGGCGGACGGGGATACGGACGGACGGAGAAACGGACGGACGGACAGAAGAACGGATTGACGAGAGGACGCACCTCGGGGGCGCCGAAGGATGCGATTGAGGGCGCGAGGAGCGCGTAGCAGGCGGAGAAGAGCTCCATTGCCTGCTGCTGCATTGCGCCGTCCATGCGCAGATGGGTCTGCGCGCGCGGGCGGAATGTGGAGAGCGCAGGGGGCCGGGCACGGGGAAAGCGGAGGGCGCAGGGGGGAGAGCACACGGGGAAGGAAGAGGGAACGTGAACGTGAGTTGGGCTAATGGATGGAAGGCGGAAAAGAGCTCCGAGGCCTGCTGCTGCATGGCGTACAGTCTCCTCGCACTCTGACCTAATCGCGTCGACACTCACTGAATCACCCCGTCTCTACCCCTGATATAGTCACACCCGCAGAGGCTCACCGTGATTAGGTCCCTGAACCGCTCCCGCCACGCATCTGGAAGGCTGACAGCTTGAGAGGCCTTCCCTTCGATATAATCACCACCCGCGCCCTGCGCATCGGTAGGGCTCTGGGTCGTCATCGCAGCGTCCATTTCGCCGGTTTGCGAGCTTCGCGTGGCGTCGATCGCTCGCTCGCAGCACTGGTTGCAGTCGCGCGTCGCGCGTCGACCACTTAGCCGTTCGCACTATCGCTTGATCGCTTAGCCGTTCGCACTACCCGTTGACCGCTTAGCCGTTCGCGCCGATCGCTAGGAGAACCAGGCGGACTTCTGATGCACCAGCACACTAAAACCAACACTAGGGAGTCGCAGACACAAGATCAACGAGCAGGAGGGCAATAGCGGTCGGAAGACTAGAAGCGATTCTAGGCTGGCGAATCGTACGCGCACAGATTCTGAACGATCAAACCTTCCTGACAGGAGGTTGGGTGAAATTATGCTGTTCGATTGGAAACTGCGACAGAAGAGAGCACTAAACACCGAGGAATGCTCGACAGCACAGAGCACGCAACACCCCTGAGCGCTGCAGCTTATACTAAGTGCTCGAGTAATGATGCTGCTGCCAAGCTGATACTTGTAACTCGCTCCACGCCCTCTCTAACAACCTCTGAAGTGACAATTTCGCCAGGTTCACGTTAGCCAATCACGCGCCGCGAGGGTCTGCCAACATTGCTTTTCGAAAAATGCGGGATGTACCACTGCTCTTGACTAGTGGCAGACAAGCAGACAACATAGACCGTAGGGCGCTAGACATAGGATGTAGGAGGACGAGTCAAGCTCCACTCCAGCCAGAGGAAACCAAGTTCGACAGTGAAGCGTTTCCTAGAACTTGACAAGCCTCATGACGACAACTCTCAGATCATGTCGCCAGTAACACATGAATCATGAATATCCCATCAGGGCATTTGAACGGAGGGCCGCGATGTATGGATTGTTTTCTGCTGATTCGAATCGACGGTTCCGATTAGAGGAGAGGCAGAGGATACAAGAACCTGTCGTCGCAAACTCGCGGAGGGAAGATGTTTTCTAGGGCTATTGTTTGACCGACTTTCCCCGCGCCAGGAGGAAAATGCCTTTCTCTTGGATGATGCTGCGCCGTTTCCCCTTGGTTCTCCCCCTGCGCGAGAAGCCTGACCCCTCAACCGGCACATGGGGGATAACAAATTGGTTGGCCCAACCCAAGGCTTTTGCGGAAGGTGGTGTTCTTGCACTGACAGCAGGACACGTGGATGATCAGCACTGGTGTCTGTTACACCTTCAGAACACTTGCCTGTGAACGCCAATCAGGGATCAGGGCGCCAGGGTGCCTGTCGGAAAACGATGTTGTGCGAGTTTGACGCACATCCGATCACTCTATAAGATGGCACAAAACACCTAGAGTGGGAGAATTTTACAGATGCAAATAAGGTATAATAAGTTAAACCTCCTCTGGAAATTTGAATATCCTTCTCATAATGATGAGATGCACGGACATAGCACGTTCCTCTACCGGCAGATAATACAATGCGCAAGGAATTTCCACACTAGAGGTGGTAGATACTTAATCAGGAAGCTGGAATTTACTTCTGAACCTTCAAGCAAAAAATGCAGGGCAGAGCTTGAACATGAAGGCCCGAATTCATATGTTGTCACGCACTCATATTGGATGGAACTAGCCTAACTCCAAACAACACTGGCCAGTCCTTGTCTTCCTTGCTCTCAACCACTGCATTATGTTGGCCAGTACCCTTTCCAAGCCCAAGAACTCTGTCGGAACGGCCACCAGAAGAATTATCACGCAACATAGCCACTCGGTGGTGTCGGAGTCGATTCGTAGCAGCCTTGGTGAGCATTGGGCATGAGATAGTAGCAGCCAGGACAGACTGCGGGGAGGATGCAACCACTCGCTTCACCTCCGCAAGCAACCTTGCTCTCTTGCAATCCGGGGTCACAGCCGCCGTTCTAGAACACACTTTCTCCAGGGACTTATCCTCAATCGGCGTAGCTTCTCGCGATTGCGGCAGGCTCATACACTCCCTCGCGAGAAAGCTCCGAGCACCACGCACGCCGCGCAGAGCAGACAATCCTTCCATGGACGCTGGCCTAGGAAAGGGCTTTGTTGGTGCAGTGACTGCCGCAGTGACTGCTGCAGACAGCGCTTGAACGGAATCAGGCTGCTGCTGCGTGAAGGCCTCAGATCCCAGGTCTCTTCGGCCACTGCCATGACTGCTGCTGCTGCTGCTGCACCCGCTGCTGGCGCGACCGGCGTGGTCCAAAAGGTTGTCTCTCAGCCTGCGTTGCGGATCGCATGCTGGCGACGCGCTGCTGCTCGGGGTAACCACCCCTGAAGGTGCAATAGCGGGGACAAGGACATGCTGCTGGGACCTCAACATCGCCGATTGGTTGAGCAAATATGAACTTGGACCCGATAAAACAGGATACTGATCTCTTTCGCGGGTCTTCTCCGAGTTTGTTCCTGAATGAGTAGGGGTCAAGCTGGCCACTCCACTACTCCCTGGAGTTTCCGTGAAAATCGGGTTGTTCCTGGCGAGACTGACGGCGTTTAATCGGGATCTGACAGGGTAAGGCTCGAGCCTCGCCCGGAAAAGGTCGTCGAACGTTTCAGTCCAAGTCCGTTTCTTGGCGACGACAGCGGGAGCGGCCGGAGCGCCGGGAGTGGTAGTTGCGGTGGACGAGAAATTGGAGTGGCTTGACAAAGGGGTTGAGTAGGTACTCCGTGGAACATTCGAGCCCACATTTCTGTCTCCGGAACGCATCTTAGTTTCTGGAACCGCCAGCCGCGATGCTAGCATGGCAGCTCTCTTGAAGCTGAGCGCTTCTTCCATGCTGGGCTTGCGTAAAACTAGGAAAATTGCTTCTCAAGTTTCTGTCAGAATTCAGGGACTATTTCAGATGGCTCACACACACGCGGAAGAAAAATGCGGCGGGATTAGATAAAATGGAATGAAAGCTTTCGAGGACGATGCTGATTACGGTCTCTGAGGGCGTGTCTGAAGTGAATTTCGACGTTTGCCGACGAAACTTTCGTCGACGTTCCTTGACGAAACTCGACATCCGTTTTCAGCTGTGTTCACTTCAGACACCCACACGACAAAATAACCCACACGTGCCATAGGAACACTGTTATAAGTTGCCCATGAAAATTCGACGTGGAATTAACAGAATCATTCATGTAACTCAATTGTTTGCAATCTCGCGAATTTCGCTTAGCATAGATTGTTGCTGGTAACACCGGATATTCTACTGTCACATTGCCAGCGAAATTTCTCTAGCACGTGTCGCTCTCGTCTTAGTTCTTATTCACGTGTGTTTTGCCACAGCTATGCAGACATGGCGTGTCGAAGAATTGTTTTTGAAACACTCATTGACTACAGTGACTCAAACAGCTGCCCGGTATCACTGTTCGACATCCCTCGACATGTGCACGAACGTCGAGTTTCGTCGAGGGATGTCAGGCTGCACTTCAGACACCAACACGCGTGGGTCCCACGGATGAGTTTCGTCGACGAAATTTGACGAAACTCGACGTTTGCACTTCAGACACGCCCTGACGTCGCTGAAATGATCTTGATATTGAATGACGAATGGCGAACGGATAAATAATCTATTAATGCGAGTCCATGGATCGCATGCGTCGCGCGTCGACAATTCCGCACGGCTCATCACAGCGTACAGCTCGACTCGATTCCTCGAGTCCCGACTCGGCCGTCCATACACGTGGTAGGTAACAAGTGCAGCGTTTCGTTGCGAAGCCACTCGTACACAGTAGAACGAGCCGTTGATTACAGTCTGTCGGGTGTGGCTCAGCAGCAGGGAGGGTGTAAAAGCCATGGGTTGCACTGTAAGCGCATCGCTAAGCTATGGCGAATGGCGCCTTGGAGAACGACAACCACGTCAGATTCGTTGCAGATCGAATGCAAATCAACATCAGATGCTCGCGTGCGCTCACCACCAACGCCATAGCGTAGCACATGCCCCATGCGAACTTCTCAACGCAACGGGACAAGTGGAAAGCGTACTGTACCGCATTGAAACGAAACCGTCGGATCGGTGTGGGCCCATTAGCTTCGTACGCTGAAAGGAGAAGCTGACTAGGCTCGTCAGGTAGGGTGAGGAATGGAAGAGCGAAGGTGAGGTACGGACAGAGGAAGGTGAGGTAAGGAGGAAGTAAGAAAGGAAGGAGGAGGTTCTGACTGTTCTGCTCCCTAATTAATGGCGGTTGATTCTGCGGCATGTGCCAACAGCTTGCGATATCCGTTGCCTTCTTTTATTGGCATGACCAACAAGAAAGTGAAGGAGCGATTGTCTGCCAACCAACACAGGATGCACGGCCATGGGGAAGATTTTACAAGGCACGAAGTGGCGCACGCCTATCCCACAATAAAGCCCATTTATGGCTCTCAACTGAGTTCTCTAAAACCACCCAGGGAACTCCTTGTTCGGAACTCTCATTCTCACAAGAACAAACCCCAACCACACAATGTTACCAGCTCGAAATACCAAAACGGGATGTGTGGAGGAGACACTAGAACTGGTGCTAGTGTCGAAAAAACGCAAAGATTCGCACAGCAACAGTGTTCTGCACAATTCCTGGCGCCAAGATGCACATTTCACACATAGATTCGACACGAAGTCATTTGTTTACGCCCTTGATAGCACGCAGACACTAATGGAGAACATGTCAGATGGTGATGGGGACGAGCTGCTTACAGGTGGCATGCCATGGGCGGAAGCAAGGCCGTGGTTGGTTGGGCAGGTGGGCCAGTGCCTTCAACTCCACCCACAGACACAGACCACGGGGAACCAGACCAGAAATGTCCTTGTACAGGATGATTCGCGGTGAGAAATATATCGACAGTGCTTGAAAAGAACTTGCGTTGCGTCTGGGTTGTTGGCAGGGCCAAACCCCCACACAGTGATTCATACTCTTCATTGCTAATGACTTCCTTTGGCTCGATTCATCTTAGTCATTTTAGAATGTACAGACTCTGCTATGGCACATATTACTGAGTAGAGCTAACAAGTATACTATAACTACTATTAATCTCTGAATGGATGCATATTTCGATTTATTTAAGGGAAATAGAGTTCCA